AAAATTATATTACTAATCCATTAGAATATGTGTTCTGTTTTACGTCATGTTTTTTTTTTTACGATCAAAAAATTTATTTAAAATTAAATAATAATAATAATAATATTTTTTCTTTATAATTAAAAAAAAAAAAACGAACGAAATGGAATCATTTATTAAAGGTATATATATTCATTTAAATAAAAAATATTTAAAAATCGCGGAAATTATTTTACTTCAAAAAAATATGGAAGTATTAAAAAAAAAAAGAAAAAATATTTAAATAAAAAAAAAAAAAAAAAAAGGAAAGAATATTGTATTATGAACTAAAAGAGTTAAATGGTTGCCAAGTTTTCGTGCCAAAATTGTCATTTTATTTTCTTCATGTTCATTTCTCTTTCACACTTAAATTAAATTTATATAATTTTTACTTCAAATTTTTTTTTTATCATTTAGCATTTAGCATTAGTCAAAAGTTAAGAAAAAAAAAAAAAAAATGTCTTCTTAAAAAACCATAAGGTTATAATTTTAAATGTCATCGAACACACACAACAAACAATATCCAACACAAATTATAAAATAAAAATGAAAATGGATGATGAATTTTTATTTCATTTTTTAACGTTTATGAAATGTTCAATTAGAGGTGAAAGTCCGTTGGTTGGTTGGTGACGTTTAAAATTTTTTACAAAATAAAAAAAAAAAAAATGACACGGAAATTATTTATAAATATTTAAAACATAATATAAAACAATTTATTCACCCTTCATTAATAAAAATACTAATAATAATAATTAAATATTTAATAAGGGTTGGTTGCAAAAAAAAAAAAAAAGATAGTAAACGGGATAAAAAAAAAAAGAAAAAAAGCTGGAGTTTTTTTTTTATAAAAAAAAAAAAAAAAAACATTGCTTTTGAGTTCTCCAGCAGTTATTTCCATGACGTTCGCTCTATCTCTCTCTCTCTCAAATTCCACCTTTTTTTCCACATCGTCTTCAACACAATACTAATTTTTTTATATTGTTCGCTTGCCTTTTTTTACCCTGCTTTTAGATTTTATTTAAGTTTTTTTTTTCCGTCGAATAATAAATAAAACTGATTTTTTTCTTATATAAAGAAACCTGCCATTTTTTTTCCTTTTTTTTCCCTTCCAAATAATGATTTAACCGATAATTTATAATCAAATTATTTATCGGTCTTTCAAAACTAAATGATTATAAATAAATAAATAATATATATATATATATATGTTCATAGAAATTATAGATACGAAAATATTTGAATGATTGAATATAAGAAAAATTTGCTGACGATATGTAAAAAAAAAAAAAAATTATAAAACTAAATGCTGACTGACATTTATTTTATTTTATTTTCTAATTTACAAAAAAAAATTAATATCGATGAATGAAACAATCCAATAAAAAAATCCAATAAATTAATACTACACATATATAACTATCAAGAAATAAAAATAAAAAATAAAAGCCGACATTTTTTTTTTTAAAACGGGTCAATAATGATAATTATTATTTTTATTAACAAAGTTATAATAGAAAAAAAAAAACTAAAGAAAGTAAATTGAAAAAAGAAAAAAAACATGAAGAAAATCAAGTTTTGAAAGAATATTGATGGAAGTTGTAAGAAGAAACTAAGCAATTTTAAACATGGTGAGGATTGGCTAAAAACTAAATTCAATTTGTTACAGAATTGACCCCGAGGACAAAAAAAAAAAAAAAAAAAAAAAGACCACCATTTTTTCCCGACGAATTTTCAATAATTTCGGAAATAACAAAATAACAATTTTCATAACAAAAACAACCCCTATAAAAAATTTTATAAATTATCTACACCCTCTCTGAATAAATATATGTATCAATAATTTAAAAATTTATGGAAAATAATCGTATTAATATTTTTTTTACCTTATATGTACATCGTTTTGTTTATAAGTTGACTTATGTATGAACTAGGAAATAATTTTTAATAATAAAAACGAATAAAATTTATTTGCTTTAAAGCAAACTATCACACGCACACGCACACACACACACGCACTATTGACAGACGACGACGACTACGATTCACTCTAATGATTACATCATTAGTTTAAAATTTCTCGGTTAAAAGGTGTCACTATTAAAAGATAAAATGCAATCCTTTCATTTTATTACTTATATATATATATATATATATATATATATATATATATATATATATATATATATATATATATATATATATATATATATATAAGTCCAAACACGCACACGCACGCACACACACACGTGTATTCCTTTCAAAATTTATATCATAATTAAATAAATAATTTTTTTCTTATTAATCGTAAACGCCTGTTTCACAACACAAAAATAAATGTATATATGAAAATTTTATGATAACATTCAAATAAAAATTCTTTTATTAAAAATTAAGATAAAAAATATTGTAAAATAAATATTGATTTAAAAAAAAAAAATTAAATTAAATATTATTGTAACCGATAGCAAAAAAAAAAAAATATTTAATATTAAAAATACCTACAAAAACATGTCGTACGATTTTAAGATTTTTTGTTTTACCGGTAGCAAATTTTAATAGAAAAAGCAAAACTAATTGAAAAAAAACATTATGTTTTTCTTAATAAATGGAAAATATTATAAAATAATAAAGATTAATAATAATAATAATAATGATAATATTTAAGTAATAAAATTTATGTATGAATTTTTTTATTTCTTACCTTTTAATGTAAAACTGTACGTCATGGAGTCCTAAAAAAGTTGCTATAATGATTCAAGCTAATCCGTCTTGAAGCAAAAAAACACAATTAAGATTTCCACACTTCACTCGTTTCACATTTTAAATATAATTTTTTTTCTTTTTTTTTCACTTTTTTACATAAATAAATAAAATTTTATTGGAATAAAATAAAATAAAATAAAATGGATGAAATATATTTAAAAAATATAAATAAAATAAAATAATAAAGCCGGCAAAACGTTGGTATTAAAAAAAAATAATAAAGCGTAAAAAAAAAATAAACGATAAACGATCCGCTCGCGTCGAATTCACAACGGTGACTGAGGCTCGCTCTGGATTTGAAACTTCGTGAGTTGTCGGCTTTTTAATTTTTAACTTCGTGATCTTTCGTATCAAGTTGTTTTCCTCGTATTGCAGGTGTGTAATGTAAACCGTTTTTTTTTTTCCCTTGTTATGCATACGTTCCTTCCTTTATAAATACCTAAGAAACTTCTTTAAAAAAAAAAAAACAACAAAGGAAATAAAAAAAAAGTGCATTCAATTCTCTTCAATTCTTTACTTCAACTTTTTTTTTTTTTTTTTTAAATGAATTATTTTTACATACTTTTTACATCGTCGGTAATAATATAGTGTGTAAATAATTTTTAACCGTAAAAAAAAAAAAACCGATTCATTTCAAATGTTGAAATGCATTAACTTATAGAAAATGGTTATTAAAAAGAGAAAAGTTCCTTTTCATATATTACTTATGAAAAACTGTAAAAAAAATTGCTTTTAACGAATCCATTAATTAGTCTGTATATATATATAATATAGAATAAAATAGAGTTTTTATTCTATATGTATATATATTTTGTGGCAGAATATTTAATTTTTATACATTTTAAAACTTACCTGAATTTCCTGGGATGGGTGTTGAAATACAAAAACTTTTCTTGATACAATACCACCACACAATAGAATATCTTATTTATCCAAAAATTTCGTTAGGTTGTTATTAAATTGTTTAAAAGATGATTTAAAACCATGAAGTATAATGTTAGTTATTGTTAAGAGAACCTTTTCTTTTTATATTTTTATTTTTATTTATATTATTTGTATTAATTACCGTTATATCTCAACCATTTGCCATTTATTCCGCCATCTTGTTATATTTTATTTAATAAAAAAAAAAAAAAAAAAAACTCAATTATAAGTTTCTTAGAACGTGTTAATGTAAACTTTGATAAATTCGCATTCGACGGTGAATTCACAGTTTTTTAAACAATTTAAAACATTTTAGAAAAATGGTGTAAAATCATAGAAAGATCCATACTTGAATAAATTTACACCACATTGGTAAAAGCAAAAAACTGAAAATTAAAAATTTTTTTTAAATGGAAGGGGGGATATTAATAAGAGCAACAACTGTGATAATGGAAATAGAAGCAAAGAAGAGATTTACCACTAAAATTGAAAAAACAGAGTTTAAAGAGAATTTAGATAAACTTGAAAGTAAAAAAAAAAAAAATAATATAAGAAACGCCATTAGTTCCATCATTCTATATTCTTAGAAAAATTTTATGAATATAATCACGGGGGGATTCTTAGAATCCATTCCTGAAGAATTGAGGCTTTAAAGATTCCATAGAGTAATAATACAAAAAATCAAATTTGTACTCAGGGTTATGAATAATAATAATAAAAAAAAAAGATTGTGAATTTTTTTAATCTAATGCTTTTTTCACAGTTATTTATAATATCATTTTTATTTAAATCTATGGTTTGAAAAGAAAGCATTAGAAAATTTTAGTTAAAAAAAAAAAATCCAATTGGAAAATTTTTCAATTTGCTAAAGTTTAATAAATTTTAACTCTAATGACCAAAAAGTTAATAAATGTTTTAATATATGTCAATAAGTATATTTTAGTTTAAGAAGTAAATTTTATCATAACTGGTTTAAAAAAGAAAAAGGAAAAAAGAGACATAATTTAGAATTTATTTATAAAAAAAAAAATATGTTTTATCATTTATTAAAATGTTTTTAAATATTATTTATAAGTATTAAGATAAAATGTAATTTAAATAATGTTTTTTTTTTGTTTGATTTTTTTTTTTTTTAATAAAATTAAGAAATAATTGTAAAACATGTTTTCAAATGATTTTAAATATCTGAATTTTAATTAATTCCTTTCTACCATAGATGGCACGTTTTTTACCATAGATGTCACGTTTTGTAATTTTTTTTTCTCCTACAAAGCGGTGATTCCTTTAATAAAATGGCGGCTACTTCATGTTTGGATATGTCGCCAGAGGTGTGGAAAAACTGGGAAAAACATGGGAAATCTGAATTGTGAGTGTAATTTTTTTGCTACATATCAATGAAAAATTTTGATAGTCTTATAACTTATGCATTAAAGAATTCTTTTTTCTATTTTCTATATCAATTAATTTCATCTCTTCATGGCGTCTCAATTGTACATCAATGTTTAAGACTCTCAGACACTATACCTCAACTGATTTTTCCTTTTCAAATATCAAAAAACAATTTATTTTTCGTACCATTATTTTCGAATTATAATGATGTTTTTTTTTTTTTTTTTTTTGCATTCTCCTGCTTTTATTTCATTCTGAAACTTAATAACGTGCTTTGCTCATTTATTGACTGAATTTGTTATTATGCACATTTATAAATGCTTCTTAATTTACTTATTTTTGAAACTGTATTAAACTCGTATTTATTTCATTATAATTATTAAAATTTAAACGTTTTTATTACAGTTTAAAATTATTGAAAGCTTCTCTAGTGGAATACACAGGTCCTCAAAGGGAACTAAAACCAGCTAAATACATTTATGAATTATTGTCATCAGGAGTGAATGGTTTAGTTAAAAAAGAAAATGTTATTGCAACTATTGGAGAAATATTATCTTTTCACATGGACGTCCCTAGTTTAATATTAGATATTTTAAATATATTAGATTTAGAAACTTTGTGCTCAAGCATTAGGGATGAAAGAAATAACTTTTGTACAATTGTTCGAGAATGTGAAAAAGTCATACCAGAAAAATTGTTAAAAGAAAGATTGGAGATTGATACCTTACAGGATGTAGGAATGTTAAAAAATAGAAATTTTTATACTAAATTTATTAGAATTAAAACCAAATTATAGTGAGTACAAAAAATATTTAAAAAAGAATTAATTAATAAAATTATTGAAACTTAAATTAATTGTGGCATAACTATTATTTTTATTCATTGATTACAGCTATAAGCAAAAGAAATTTAATTTGCTTAGAGAAGAAAGTGAAGGCTATGCAAAATTAATAACACAATTAAATCAGGATATTTCAGTAAATTTTACTGCAGAAAACCTACTGCAAGATACTAAATCATTAATTGGTTGCTTTAATTTAGATCCCAATCGAGTGCTTGACATAATTTTAGAAGCTTTTGAACTTAGGACAGAATTAGCTGAAATATTTATGGAACTGTTAAAATCCTACACAAATGACTCGAAAGTTCTTTGTGAAATTCTAGGATTTAAATTTTCACACTATTATAAAAATAAAGAGCCAACTCCTCAAAATTTATATAAAATTACTGCACTTTTATTGCAGTATGAAATTATTCAGTTGGATGATATCTATCCCTGGGTAAATTATTTTAAGATAAAAATATATGTTGAAATTATTCACTGATTTATTTTAATTGATCTGTGAAATTTTAAATTATGAAACAAATTTCATATTAATAATAATATATATTTAAAATTTTAGTTAATGCCCTTAGATAGTGTGATTGAAAAAGAATGGGAAAATGAAATGAAAGAAGCAAAGGAGTATGCTAGAAAGCAAAATGTTATATCTACTAAAGAGAAAGAAAATGAAGAATCTGAATGTGAAAAAGAATCTGCTCAGGAAAAGGTTTGTACTTTAAATAAACTAAAAACAAAACAATGAGAAAAATTATTTTTATGAATTATTACACTCGATGATTTCTGTTGGTAGTTTATTGAATTTTAATTAATTTTTCCGATAATCATTCAAAAATTCATCAAATGTAATAATTTTCCTTTAAGTTTCATTGCAAAATATTAATTTAAATGGTAATTTTTTTTTTTTTTTTCAGTATGCAATGATTCAAAAATTTGGTCTTTGTGAGGCTTTATTAACAATTGGGGCATGGTCCGTATGCCAAGAACTTTGTCGTAATCTTCCTGAACACTGCATCATGGAGCAACCACCCGTTGCAAAAGCCATGTGCAACCTTCTTCATTCACTAATAGAACCGTTATACTCAGCGTAAGCATTAATCTTTGTCATTAAATATTATTTTTTAAAAAAATAAGTGAAATTTTAATAACAATGCATTTTTATTTTTAGAAATTGTTGTATTTCAAATAAAGTTCAAAGACGTCCTCCTCCTGTTTTGAACAGTAAACTAACGCCCAAGTCTGTTTTAACGTTTTCTGAAATGAGAAATGATGTTATTCCTATGCTAATCGCTCTGGGACCTTCGTTACATTTTGATTCAGTTCTTATGTACAAAGTAATGTGGTTATAATTTTATAATTTACCCTAAACTTTTACCATTTAATTTATAAAATATTACTCAAATTATTTTTTAAAAAATTTTATAGATAATTCGTCTATGTAAAGTTAATTTATATCAACTTGGCGAAGAGGGACTAAAGCAACCTTCAGGAGAAGATTCTCTTTATCATGACATTATAGTTCTTTTGGATTTAGTGATTCTACCGTCTTTGTCTTACATGGATTGTAATTGTAGCATTGCAGAAGAAGTATGGAACGTCATAAAAAACTTTCCCTATCAAATCAGGTGCATACTAGAACCATCTTTCGCGTAAGATTTTAACCGTTTAATTTGCTTTTAACTTATTATTTTTTTTGTAGATATTGTTTGTACAGTCGGTGGAAAAACGAAACTCCAAATGAACACGCAAAGCTTTTACGAAAGAACGGAGAAGCATTGAAAAATATAAAAAATATAATGAAAAGAGTAAGCAAGGAAAATATAAAACCAGTTGGCAGGCTCATCGGAAAACTGACTCACGCTTCTCCTGGGGTTTTATTTGATTATGTAATTAATAATACTTGGTTTTAATTCTTAAATATTTTATAATTGTTTTATGTAATTTTTTTTATTATCTATAGGTGTTAATACAAATTCAAATGTATGAAAATTTGATAGGACCAGTTGTTGATTCACTCAAGTTTTTAACTAATTTATCGTACGACGTATTAGGCTACTGTTTAGTAGAGACTTTAGCGAATACTTCGTTAGACAAAGAAAGATTTAAATATGATGGAACATCAATATCAATGTGGCTTCAAAGTTTGTCTTCGTTTTGTGGTTTCGCGTTTAAGAAATATAATATAGAATTAACTGGATTATTACAATACGTTGCAAATCAGCTGAAGGCTGAAAAAAGGTACATAGATTTAATTCAAATTAATAACGCTGTCTAATAATTAATGCTAAAATCAGGAAAATTTTTTTTTTTTTTTTTTTTTTTTAGCTTAGATTTATTAATATTACGAGAAATAGTTCAAAAGATGGCTGGCATAGAAGCAGCCGAAGAAATGACAACTGACCAACTCAATGCCATGTGCGGTGGAGAACTTTTAAAAGGTGAAGCTGGTTACTTTAGTCAAGTTCGAAACACTAAAAAATCTTCATTAAGGCTAAAAGAAGCTTTAAATGAACAAGATTTGGGGGTTTCACTGTGTCTCTTAATGGCACAACAAAGATACTGTGTAATATATAGAGAAACGGATAAAAGCCATTTGAAACTAGTCGGAAAACTGTATGATCAGGTAATTAAATTTATTATATCAAGGATATTATTTGCAAATCGTTATCGTTCGTTTTAATCGAAATTACAATTATACTCTGTTGTTTCAAATATTTTATAACTATCGCCAAAAATTTTTTCGCTCGATTTTTTTTGTTGTTGTTAAATTTTATGTATGTTAATTATTATAGTGTCAAGATACATTGGTTCAGTTTGGTACCTTTTTGTGTTCTACTCTCTCCGTGGATGAATATGATACTCGTTTTCCTTCAATTCATTCCATGTTATCAGAATACCATATAAATGCCGACGTCGCATTTTTTTTAGCAAGACCTACATTAAATCATGCTATAAATGTAAGTTTGACTCATATATTTTTTTAATATTAGGTTCTTCCTGAGTGATCGGTTCAACAATCATAAAATATGCATTAATCAACAGTAATAATTAAAATTACTACTTTTCTTTTTTTTTTTTTTTGTAACGTAGAATATTTGGACATTTTATGCCTTAAAAATTGTCGTTTAAACAAAACCCTTTTCAAACTTGCATTTCCTATTATAGTTTTTGGAATGATTCACAATTTTGCTAAAATTATTGGAATAACTTATTAATCTTTATTGGTGACAGTATTTTCCGAAATTATTGGTTCTAAAATTTTCACAGTTGAGATTTTTTTTTTTCCCCATACAAATGTTCACAGGTATAAACAATGTGAAAGTTACAAATAAGAAAAATATAACAAACGTATATGTATTATAAATTCATAATTTCATTAAAATTATGAAAAAAAAAAAAAAAATTAAACGCCCCCGGGTGGGCTCGAACCACCAACCTTTCGGTTAACAGCCGAACGCGCTAGCCGATTGCGCCACGGAGGCTCACGACTGAAGTACCTTGTACTGATAATCTACAATTAAGTGTAAAGCATGACCTAAAATTATTTTAATGTTTTCTTCATTAAATATTATTTTTTATTGTATTATTCATTATTATTATTATTATTATTATTATTATTATTATTATTATTATTATTTAATATTATTATTTAATATTTAAATTCTGGAACGTAATAATTTTATTTTATTTATTTTAGTAAATTTCATTATTTTTTTTTTTTTTTTTTTTTTTTTTTTAGAATTAAGAAACTTAAATTAAGAAAAAAATAATGTTTTAATCGTAATTAATATTTCAAATCGGTATTTTTCCTATTTTAAGAAGTTTTATATTTTGCACATCAGTTTAAATCATGGGTTTTTTATTATCATTTAAATTTAAAAAAGAAAAAAAAAATTAACCTGTGGCAAAACAAGCAATAAAAATTTAACGCCCCCGGGTGGGCTCGAACCACCAACCTTTCGGTTAACAGCCGAACGCGCTAGCCGATTGCGCCACGGAGGCCGTTGATCTTTATCAAGTTATTGACATCAATCATTGTGAAAATACAGGCTCAAACTTAGGCACTTCATATAAATTTTTTTTTTTTTTTTTTCATCCTCAAGTTATATTAATTGCACGTTTCGTAATCGTAATTTGTATTATTATTATTATTATTTTTATTTTAAGATGAAGTACGACACTTTAAGAAAAAGTGATGCAAATTATAAAAAATTGAGTTTACAATCAAAGCAACAAAAATACTGTGAAGCCGTTCAAGAAATAATGACTCCCATAATAAAATCAGTTAGATCCCTACATTCAAATAAAGTTTGGGAAGATATCAGTCCTCAATTTCTTGTTACCTTTTGGAGTTTGACAATGTATGATCTTCAAGTTCCTGTTGAGAGTTATCAAAAAGAAATCAACAGAATTAAACAATCATCAATTTTGGGTATTGATTCTAAAGAAATGGTATTATTTTATTATTAATTATTTATTTATTTTTTTTTATTCAATCAGTATTCCTTGTTGTCAATTAGGATTATAAAAAAAAAAAACACTTACTTTAAATTTTCTAACAAATTAAATTTTTAGGCTACTAGTAAAGGTAAAAAAGAACAAGAAAGATTTAACGCTTTAATGGAAAAACTTCAAGATGAAAGGAAAAAACAACAAGAGCACGTTGAAAAAGTCATGGCGAGATTAAAACAAGAAAAAGATTCGTGGTTTCCTACAAAATCTTTGAGATCACCCAAAAATGAATCGATAATGAAATTTTTACAATTGTGTATTTTTCCCAGATGTATTTTTACCTCCTTAGACGCGTTGTACTGTTTTAAATTTATTTACACTATTCATATGTTAAAGACGGCCAATTTTTCAACTCTTTTGTGTTTAGACAAAGTAAGTTTTATTATAAATAGGTATAATGAAAATTTGTTAAAAATCAAATACGTTTCCTACGTTGTATTTCCTTCCTTAGTCAAGTTACATTTTTTAAAAATTTAATTCAAATTTCAGTTATTGTGTGATCTAACATATACAGTTACATTTTGCACTGAAAACGAGGCTCACCGTTACGGAAGATTTTTATGTTGCGTTTTAGAATTAGTAATGAGATGGCATGGTGATGTTAATATATTCGAAGCCGAATGTTCGAATCATCCTGGTTTTGTAACTAAATACAGAGCAAGCAATCATTTTTCGGATGCCAGTGATGAAGTTGGTGTTTAAATTGATTATTATTAATTTCATTTTTAATTTTTTTTTTATTTAAAAAAAAAAAATTATATTATTTTAAGGTATCATATGAAAATTATCGTCACGTGTGTCACAAATGGCATTATAAAATAACCAAAGCGATACTTGTTTGTTTAGAATCAAAAGATTATACACAAATTCGTAATTCATTAATAGTTCTTATTAAAATATTACCACATTTTCCAATGTTAGCAAAATTAGCTCAAATAATTGAGAAAGCGATTGAAAAAGTACAACAAGAAGAAAAAAATCAAAGGCAAGATTTATATATTTTAGCAATGAGTTATGGCGGTCATTTAAAAGCAAAAGCTCCTAATATGGTCAAAGATAGCGATTTTCATCAGGTATTATATAATCGTGGAAATAATAATTTTTTTGTAAAAGAGCATTTAATTTTATAATTTAATATTATCAGGTCGTCAGTAAAGTGTCGAATAAACAAGGAAAAGAAAAATTAAGTAAAGAAAATTCAATAGAAAAAGTTGAAAAAAGTGAAAAAAGGGAAAAATTAAGTAATAAATCGGAAAATAAAGAAAATAATAAATCGAGAACTGGACGAAAAGAATTAAGTGAAACTAAAAAAGAAACCACACCTCCTTACAATAATAAGTAAGAATTTTAATTAATTAATTAAAAACACTTTTCTCATGGAAATCTAAAAGATTTATGTAATAAATTTTTTATTACAATCGTAGTAATAAAGAAAAGACAGAAAGGGAAGAATTAAAAGAAGAAATGAGGTTGCAAAAAGAGGAAAAATCACGAAACAAGGATCGAAAAGAGGATAAACATTCAAAAGACGAAAGAACTTATAGGGTACGTTTTGATTGTTAAAAAACTTTATTTATTAATAATATTTATTACTAATTCGGCGAATTATTATTTTATTAACAGGACGATAGATACGTTGAATCAATACCGTTAAGTAAAGATGAACAAAGACACATGACTGGTTATTATAGTGGTGCTGGGCATTATATGGATGAAACAAGAGATATTAGCAGTTTATCGAATAGCAGTTCGGGGTCACATAAGCACGGTGGAGAGAACGTAGAACCTGAACGTGGTAAAATAATTGTTTATTTTCGAAGAATAAGACTCCATTAATTAGAAAAAAAAAAAAATTACTGAAAAGAGTAATAAATAAAATTGTTAAAATGAAATCTTTTTTTTTTTCAGATGTGAAACGTAGGAAAATGGATGGAAGTTCATCCTCCAAGGTTAGTATTCCAGTATCGTAATGAATCAGGTGACTGACTTCCAGATAGCCTAACAAGAGGCTGATGGCTAATACAACGATGATTTCCCAAACGTTTTCAACTTTTTTCCAAAAAAAAAAAAAAAAAAAAAAATTTTTATGCATTTGAATTTTTGTGGTCACACATATTTTTAATTTTGACGGAGAGAAAAACATATATATATATCTATAACCGCTAGCGTATTAATTTTAAGATGGAAAAAAGGTTTTGGAAAAACAAAAAAAAAAAAAAAAAAAAAAAGTAGAAGAGAAGATTCCTAATGATTTGGAAAAGGATATTTAATCTGCCTTTTCAAATTCGTTTTATTATTTATGTTTGTTTAAATAAAAAAAAAAAAAAAAAGGAATTTTGTTCACTGAAAAAATTGACATGATTCAGTGACTATCGTACTTTAGGGAATAATAATTTTTGGTTCTTGGAAGTATCACTCTCGAGTTTTGCTAAAAAAAAAAAGCACGAAAATATATATATACATTTGTCTGATTTAAAAAAATTCTCAAGTACTAAACATAGTATTAAGTAAAAACGTGTTTTCAAAACATGGCCAAAGTATAATCTAAACATAAAAGTGTCCAAAAAAAACAAAAAAATAATAATTTGCTTCGATTTCAACTAATTGATTAATCTCAATTGTTCATCCATCATGAACACAAAATATAGAAATAATATGATGGTATAAATTCTAAAGAGAAATCAATGGATTTTATGAATTGACAAAAGGAGTTACTTCATCACTGCATTTTATGAAATAAAGAAAAGATATAAAAAGTAAACGAAACAAGAAGAATAATCTTGGGAAAAAAAATGAATCATTTGTAGAACACACCGAGTAAAATTTTTTTATATTTTATTCTATGAAGAATTAAAAAGTTAAATATGGAATAAGAAGAGAAAGAGAATATCTCAGTCGTCTTGTGTTTTTTTCAAGTGAATTCGTATTTAATCATTACCTCGAAATTATTTAAAAAGACAGAGAAACAAAAAAAAAAAAAAGGAATATCTACAAGTTTTCAACTGTACCATGTAATTTTTTTTTTCTTACTTATTTGCACGATGATGAAGTGGATTTTTTTTTGGGAGAAAAGAAGATTTCCCTCCTATCCCGTTACAGGTTGTTTATATTGACGAATTAACCCGAGGTAAGTTTTATTTATTTATTTATTTATTTTTACTTTTTTTTTTTTTTTAGCCTTTTTTTTGCTTCACGTGTAAAATTTTTAATTCGTTCTACGGTCATATTTCCAGTGGATTCATCTTATTTTTTTCAGCGTAATTATCATTATCACCTCAATTATGAAGAGAGAAAAAAAAAAAAAAAGGGTTATTTTTTTCCTTTTCGTTTAAACCGTCTTCATCATCGGATAATTCATAAACAAATTGAAGCCACATTAATATGTATAGAACATAATTATTAGGAGTATAAAACTAAATTGTGAATATTACGAACAAAAATAATTATTATTATTATCACATTTAATTTGAATCGCGTACCTATTCATCAGTTGTGCCTGATTTGGAAATATTTATTTTATTCTATTTTTTTTTTTTGAAGAATTTTTAATTATTTACTTTATAATTTTTTATGTGACGTCGTTTTTTATATATATATAACTTGAAACAATTATTTGAAATACAAAACGCAGGATAATAAAAAAAAAAAAAAAGTGTCCACTTACCTTTTGTATAGAAGTGTTTGTCTACATTCTTCTTATTATTATTATTAGTTCGTGAGAATTTCTTGATTTTTCTTAAAGAAGTTGGATCGACCTGAAAAAAAAAAAGTAGAAATTAGTATCAAAAAAAAATTTTATTTATTGCATTTGTTGGAATTCATACTTTGAAAGAATAAAAAATTAAAATAATCGTCTGCTGGATTATGATGATGATGATGATGATAATAATTGAATTATTCAGAACAAGAAAAAAAAATAATTGGAGGCTCATGTTGTGAGATTCTCAAGATGAGATAATAATGATGATGATGATGACTATATTGTGTGAATTTTTTTTATTTTTGATTTATTTAAAATGATTAAAAAAAAAAAAAAAACAAAACAAAGGGCACAATTGAAATGATAATAATTGATCAGGAAAAAATAAGAATTATTATTATTATTGTTATTCGACTAGAAAAAAGGAAAAAAAAAATCAACTTTGGCGGTTCAATGAAAAACAGACAAAAAGAAAAAAAAGAACAAACGCACTCACGCACGCACGCATACAAGAACCAATTAATTCGTATAAGAGTTTAAAATTTATTTATAATATTTAATAAAAAAAAAAGAGAGAGAGATAGAGAAATTAATTGTGAGAAGATAAATGTAAGAAAGAAGATTTTTTTTGTATTTATCAAGAAAATGTCATGAAAATCCATCTGGGGGGGGAATCCGCAGCTTGGTGGTAAGTTGAAAAAAAAAAATTTTTTTTTTCAAGGTAAAAAAACCAATACAATGGATAGAACCGTCCGATAAGCTGGAGAAAAAAGAAAAAAGTTCCAGGTCAAAAGATAAGATTAGTAGAGATAAAGACAAAGAAAGAGATAGAAAGGAAAGAAAAGTAGGAAGGAAAAGAGTAAGTTTTTTTTTAAATGAAAAGTTTTTCCTTTTTTCTTTTTTTAAGTAAAAATTAATTTTTTTTTTTTTTTTTTTTTTTTTTTTTAGGATAGAGTTTCCGACGACTCATCCATCGATGGAAGTAAATTAAGGAAAGACGAAGAAAAAAGTAATGAAAATAATTTTTGTTTTTTTTTTATTAATCACGTGACAAAATAATTAATGGCGGGATTGTATATTTTAGGTTCTTTGAAATCTAGCAGTCATCAAAATGGTGGATCTGACTCCATAGAACTTAGCCACAGAGAAAAAAGACATTATACAAGAGTTGGTTTTCCCCCCCCTTTTTTTTTTTTTTCATATTTTCTTATTTTATAAACGAGTAATTAATTATTTGTAATGTTTTTCTTTTTTTAGCAACAACAGTTAAGCCCATCTTATCAATCTGAAAGAGACATTGATAGACCCAGAGAACGTGGAGTCAGATCTGGTCATTCGACAGATAGAGCAAGATCGTTGGAAGTATCGGATCGTGAAAGAGAATCCAGAGACAACCAATATCCTTTTATGCGTTTAATTGTTTTGTTTACATTTTATCTATCAATAGTAGTTATAAAAAAAAAAAAAAAAAAGTTATATATATATTTTCTTTAATTTATACTTACCAGTAGAAGGAGTGATGGGTCCAAGAGAAGGTGATACCAACTGATGAATGAATTCAAGTTTTGTAACCGTTCTTTAACATAATAATAACACATTATTTAAAAAAAAAAAAAAAAGTTCGTTTTTGTAAATTAATAGAATTTAATGAAACAGTTTGATTTATTAATTGAAATTGTGTATAAATAAATATAACTTCTTTACAATTGAAATTTTTTTTTTTAATATTATTCAAATTTTCCTATTGTCCTTTACCTCATTTACTACTTTTAAGTTAATTAGTGGTAGTAGTAGGTACAATTAAAAAACTTGTCGATTATCCCCTTAAAATTTTATTTTTTCCCCCTTTTTTTTTTTTGTTTACGGTATGAGTTATTCTGAGACCATCAATTCAATGATTGATTGTTAATTTTTTGAAAAATTTAAACATCAATAATTACGTTAATTTGAAACTAAGTTTAAAAATTAATAGGTTTTTAATATTCATGGGTAAAAATTATATTAAATTTTATTTACCGGCGTAAAATGACCTAATAATTTGGATAATAATCCATATTTTTATTAACAATCACGAGGATTATCGCAAAAATCTTTTTTATGTGATAAAACTTTGTAAATGCAAGTAAAGAACGAGTCGTATCTTGTTTAATGCTATTTATCATACGCGTTCAAATTTAACAAAAAACAATTTTTTTTTTTTTTCCTTTCTTACTGTGTTGCTATGTCATAACCATAAATTTTTTATTTTTAATTACAATTAAAAGTTTCTTTTTTTTCGAGCTGAAAATAAAAAAAAAAAAAAATAATCAATAAAAAATAAACATTTGGTTTCATATATATATTTAAATGCCACAATTAAAGTAAAAGTATTAATTATGCAGAAACTTTGGCTGTTTTTTTTACTCTGGAGTTCCAGTTGGCAATCTGAATTAACTGACTTATTGTCAACAACTGATAAATTTTTTCAAGAGTTTGATTTAGTTAATGGCATCGAATTAAATGTGAACGAATTTAAACACATGGTCAAGAGAACATTCAAGCTGAGCAAAGATCACAAAATATTTAAAAGATCAATTGAGAATGATGAAAATGAAAAAGGTAAGTTTAATTTCTTTTTTTTTTTTTCCTCCTTTCCCACCTTTGTTTAATTAATGTAAGAAGTAATTATTTTGACTCTTATTATTTTCCATCCATTCCGAAATATGTTTTAAAAATATAATCACATTCATATGTTTTTAAGTATTTGTAAAATTCTCCTAAATCCATATGATGATCTTGTTTTTTTTTTCTACAATTGCTAAATGATATTTCTTCAAAATTTTTAAATTTTCTTAAATTATCTATATCACAATCTGCTTCAACTCTTTCTTTTGATATGCATAGAATTTTTTTCCATGTCAAGCTTTTTAACTAAAAAAAAAAAAAAAAAAAAATTATTTTTGTAAACAATAAAAGATAATAATTAACAAATGTTAATGTTAATATTAATAATAATGATAATAATAAATACCTTTTTCCATGATTCCTGACAATTATTTTCATATCCTTCAAAGCAAATAATTCCAGGTTTGCCAGGTAGACAGAATCCAGTTAATACATATTCATCTGCCAAATCTAAAATTATTCTCCTTTTGACTTTGGAGTAAATATGATGAGAATAAATCCACAATCTATTAAAAATATTTTCCTCTTTTTTAACATTGCTCACAGAGTCTTTTACTTCATTTTTTGACACAAGAAAATATGTTTCTGCATTTTCCTGTAACCAAAAAATTATTGAACCAATAATGATTTCATCTTTTTCAAGATTTGAAATATAATTAGACAATGATTCGTTTAAAGTATTTTGCTGATTCCTATTTAATTGATCGCTTCTAACATACACTTCGGGTTTGACGTGAGGATATTCCGATGGGAGAAATATTATTACATCCAATTTCGAATCGCATATATTTAAATGTACGGTATAATTTAATTGAGGGGGTTTTACTAACGATTTCCCTGACAAATAATCTTGAACATCTACTAAAATTCCATAATCAATAGATAATTCGTCAGACCTGGGAAACATCGATTGTAACATCTCACATTCGGATATTTGCATCTCGAGCCATTCTTTTTGACTTTTCACGTCAAATTCTTTATCATCTTCATCTTGATTAACCACCGATAAGTTGAAAAAATCTTCTTTTTCATCCTTACATTCCAACATTATTAAATTAATATATTACATATATTTTATAATTTCTATACTTTTATAAAAAATTAAATTAGTAATAATTCACTTTTGTTTCTATAATTATGTAATTAACTTTGTCGGTCCCCCGAGATTTGAAATAAGACTTTATTAATTTTAACTTTTGCAATGTTGGCACCACATTATAACGAGTATATAATTTTTTTTTCACGAATATTGGCTATCCTATTTCGCCGTTACTTTTATTAGTTTGAATCTTAAAAAAAAAATTATTTGGCGTCTCTTAAGTTACTCATCTAATTTTTAAGTGAATTAAATTGTATTTAAAAGAAAAAAAGTATTCAATTTATCACATAAGAGTATATATAATCACAAATATGTAATATCTGTGAAGTATATTAAAATGTTTTACAGGTGTATATTTATTAAATAATATAATTGATGTTGCTAACATCCCAGCCAAATTTCCAAACGATATAAATATATTTTCTGCACACAATTTGCTTTTTGTTATCACTTTGGAATCCAATGGCACTAATCCGGAAACTCAGTTGGCAAATAATTTGGTATTATACCAATATTCTGTAAGTCATTGTAAATTTTCAATAGAGATTTAAAGTAAACGGTATTCCAACGGTAACGAATGTTCTAATTTTAGCCCATACATGGCATCAAAGAAATTGGGAGAATGCAAATTCAAGGAGGAATCAAATCAGCAGTTCATACTTTTAAAAAAAGCATTTACATAATAACGGCTGAACATGAAGCCCAAAATTCTTTCGATACTTTCAAAGGCTCTACCCTATATAAAATGACGGAGTTGCGAGGAAGAATTATATTGGAAAAAATTCAAATATTAAACGTAATCGAACCAAATGATGTACAATTTTGGGAACATCAAGATAACGTACGATATTTAATCTCTATCTATTTAAAAATATAAGTTTTTTTATTTTTTTATTTTAATTTCTCTTTCGATTTTTAGTTTTATTTAGCAATAGCATCTAACATGGGAAATGACTCGTTAAGAACAGGAATTCTTATTTACAAATGGACGGGACATCATTTTAATTGCATTCAACGTATTTCAGGCAAATATGTAAAAAGTATAAAACTTTTTACAATGGGGAGTTTTGTGTATTTAGCTGTTGCTAACTATCAAGATGAATACGGTAAAAAATTAAATAATTTTTACAGATATCTATTTAACATACATAAAGTTCACGTGACGTAAATAAAATTCGTTTTACAGGAAACACGGATATTTTTTCTGATATATATAAATTTAATTTAAATGACCTGAAATTTTATCACTTTCAAAGTATTAAAACTCACGGAGCTCAAAATATTGCACATTTTAATTTTGAAAACAGTAAACTAAAAAAAGATGATCATTTTTTGGCAGTAGCAAATTACATAGGAAAAAATAAAAACGGAGCTTTGACATCTAATTTAGAATCAATCATATACAAATTTAACGGAAAATTTTTTATTCCTTTTCAAAGTTTTAGACTCCTCGCAGCAACAAAATGGCTGCCGATAAAGGTAACACATTTGCTTTTCTTAAAATTTTATTAGCACGAATTTGAATGTTTTTTATTTTTAAACACACGTGACAGGGATCGAAAGGAGAGTTTCTGCTTTTAGTGGTTTATGCACATGGTTTGAAAGGATATCAATATGACGGTTGGAGGTTTTCTCAAGTTTCACTCCAATTCGGACAAAGTCTTATTGGAACCAACATACAATCCATGAGAGCTTTTCAATATCTTGAAGATATTTTTTTAAGTACGACTTATTTTTACTTAATAATTTACATATATAATTAAAATTTGTTTTTTTAAATTACGATATTTTACCAACCTAGCAACGGCCGACAAAAACAGCTTCGGTGAAAACGTTAATCTATGGAAACTTATATTTTCGAAAAAAAACGATTTCGAAGAAATATATAGAGAAACGGAGATTTGGTGCGAAAACATGAAATTAAAAATGCTAGAAGACAATTTTACGAGCACAGCAGAAGAAGTTAAATGGGAAATACAAAAAACTGGAGACGTAGAAAACCTTCGAATTTTGGATTTAAAAGAGGAAGAACCAGAAAATAAAATACGAAATGAAATAAATATTTTAATGAATTATACCGAGAAAATAAATGATGCTTTCGAAGAAAATTCAGAGAAAATCGAAAATGACGGAAGCGAAGAAAATATATTTGTAATATTAGGTGAATTTTTTCTTTTTTTTTATTAGAGGCATTTTTTTTTTTTTTATGAAAGCTGAAAATCTAAATTGAAATTTTTGAATTTAGGTTCTAAAAATATCAGCAACGTTGAACTTCAATGTGCCACCGAGCATTGCGTAACATTCAAAAATTTGAAAATAGTCAATGCAAATCAAGAAAATTTTTCTGATTTTCTTTCAAACATTCTATTTATAAATAAAGATATAACTGAAAGAGACATCGATTTTGAAAATTTAAACATTTCGAAAAATTTGTTTTCAAATTTTGTCAATGAACATGAAGCAGAAACTTTAGTCGACGTCACGTCAGAAACTTTTGTTAATTCAGAATTGATGGTTAATGGCACCGTTTTTATTAATAACGATTTAACTGTTTACGGGATGATTGACGGTATTCAACCAGATCGAAAGAATTTCCTTCTATACGATGGAGATCAATCAATCGATGGTTAATTCATTTATTTAAATGCAAAAAAATCCAATCAATCACAATTTCAACGTTATTTTTTGGTTTATAATGTGACATTATTTTAGGTAAATTAATTGTAAAGGCATTAAGGGTAAAAAATTTAAAATTATTCGGAACAATAAACCGACACAACATCACAGATTTGCTACGACAACAAAAGGTAGAATTACAAACCAATTACGAAGAATTAAATGTTAATAATTTAATTATTGAAGGATTAATTAACGGTCATAATATCACTCACATTTTAAATGACGCTATTACTACTTCGGGAAATCAAAATTTTCAAGGTGAGCCTAACCTCCCCATACCGTAGTAGATGAGTCTAGGACTAAAGCCGAGGTCACTACCCACTAAAACTCCTGAATGTGCTTAATAAATCTCTTTCGTTTTTTTTTTTTCAGGAAGTTTACAGTCTTCAACGATAGAAGCAAATGAAATAATTATTGAAGACGAACTAATTAATAATATGACGGTGAAAGAATTTATTATTTCCAACTTTTGTAAAAAAAACCTGAAAAATAAAAATTCTGAATTAATTTCAAATGTTCAATTAGATAGAAATTCTAAAAGTATTAAATTATTATCAGAAAACAGCATTATAATTGTTGAAAATGTTTTCAAAGCCAAAGATATTGTAGATAAAAAAAATCATTCTTCTCTTTTCAATATAATTAAAAATGGTTACGAATTAAATGAAACAATTATTAATTCACCTCTTAATTTTTCAACTGTAAAGGTTAATATAAATTAATTTTTTTTTTTTTTTAAATTTGACAATTAAAATATGTTAAAAAAAATATTTATTACCTTTTGATTTATTTAATTAGATTTCAGATGATTTTGTAGTGGAAGAAATAAATGATGATTCCGTTGAGTCTTGGCTTCTTAAAAATTCAACCGTTGAACAAACGATATTTGGTAAAAAAAAGTTCTTCGGTAACTTCTACATAGAAAATGAAGTTTCAGCTGATAGATTGAATGAAATCAATTTACAGGAATTATCTTCTGATGTCTTCAATCTGAAAAAAAATGAAAATATATCAGGAAATTGGAAAATTAACTCTCTCATATGTCAAGAGTTGGTATTTATTTTATTTTTAATTTATTTTCTAAAACACGACAAGATAAATTAAAAAAAAAAAAAAATTTTTTTTCCTTTTTCAGATTAGAAACTGAAGATGAAAATTTTCTAAATTTTCCACCGCGTAAATTAAATCAGCTTAAAATCAATGATGAAACTGTAGCTGACACCTTAAAAGTTGATTATTTATCAGTTTCAGGTAAATTCCAATTAAAAAAAAAAAAAATTTTTTTTTGTTTTTGCCATTAAAACTTTTATTAAAAAAGTTTTTTTTTTTTTTTTGTACAAAAATAAATTTAAATTCAATGTTTTAATTACTTACAGATGCAATTGATGGTATAAATTGGGAAAATTTTATTAACGATTCTATTTTAAATCCGGTTTCATTTATCCCTGGAGAAAAAATAATCGATGGAACTGTTAGAGTTAAAAATTTAAATTTAAAGGGCCAAATCAATAATTTATCACTCAATGAAAGTGTCAATTTAAATTTAAAAAGTTTCGATTCAATTGTTTTACACGAAGATTTGATTTTAAAGAATTCTCTTACGGTAGATGAACTGAAATTCGAAAGTTAGTTTTTATTTATTGCGTTTCTCTCTCTCTTTTTCTATTAATTTCTACTTTGAAAAATTATAAATTTATTATTTTAGATACAATTGATTCGATATTAAATCCAAATTTTACAAAGGAATGGCTAATGCAAAATGAAATGCAAATAATATCAGTTCCTTTTTATTTTGAAAATATTCAATTAAAATCGGGTGCAAGTCTTAAAAATGAAACAATAAATAAAATAAATTTAAAAAAATTGTTTTCAAGATCGATAAAAATAAATGAAAATACAAAAATAAAATTTTTATATGGAACCGGTCAAATAAGTGCAAATGAAATTGAAATAGGAGAAACATTAAACGGTGCTCATTTTAGTGATTCCATATTAAGACGATCAAATTTTAACTCCTCTCAATTTTTGTCTGGAGAATGCCTTTTTGAAAATGGATTAGATATTGAGGGATCTCTTATCGTTGAAGGTTTCGTTTCCGGTTTAAACGTTTCTCATTTGTGTCAAATTAATCCAAAAAATAAAATTAATTTAGTTGTTGGAGGTTAGTTTATATTGAATAATTATTTTGAAAAAAAAAAAGTTAAGAACAGTAAAAGTAAAAAGATTTTTTTACAGGTTCTGTTAAATTTAAAAAAGAACCAAAAATTCGTTACTACGTTAACGGTTTTGACGTTAGTGAACTAAGTGAGAACGCGTGGATGAAAAACGAAAAAACAACATTAAAAGGATCAAATAATGTATTTGAAAATATTTCTTTCGAAAATAAAACAATTTTACACGGATCGTTAAATAATTTATCTTTAACTAACATATCAAAATATTATTTAAGTAAAACATTAAACAGAGTTATATCGCAAGATTTTTCATCGGAAAAAATAATAATTAAAAAATGTTGTAGAGCTCGAAAAGCTTTTGTTAACGGATACGTTAACGGTATAGATTTCAGTAACTGGGCCAACAACGTCCTCCTTCAAAATGAAAAACAATCGATCCAGGGAAAATTAAAATTTAATACTTTCGAAGCAAAAGAATTAAATACAAACGGAACCATAAACAATATCGACATATTAAAAGATATTTTGCGATATGACCTCGATAATGTAACCGTTGAAGGAGAAAAAACGTTTGAAAATGTCAGGGTTCTTAATTTGTCAATAACTGAAGGGAAAAAAATTCAAGGGGTTGATATTGATAAATGGCGAAAAAGTTTAATGTCTCGTAATAATGATTCTATCATCTATGGAGATGTTATTTTAGATAAAGCGGAATTTATCAGTCCCATCAGGTACGCCTTAACAGGTTCTCCTTAGTATATAGTTGAATTACTAAAAAAAAAAAAAAAACATTATCATTATTATTTATTTTTTATTTAGAGTTTCGCAGAAGGTAAACAATGTTACATTTGACTCTCAAAATATTTTAAGAACAACCGGAAATCAAATAATTTCCGGTACAAAATTTTTTAAACCAATATCTGAATCGAATGTAACAATCGGCATAAATAATTTAAAGTTATTCGGTTTGATTGACGGCCTGGATTTCGATACGTTAATCAAATCCCAGGCTTATACTGATCGAGATTTAATATTCACCGAACCACAAACTTTTTCAAAAGGAATAAATTTTAAAACTTTAGATATAAATGGATCTCTTCAAAATGTTAATATTTCATCCATGTGTCATAATTTTTTCAATCCGGTAAACGTAAACGAATTCGAATCCGAATACGACAGCTTACTGAATAAAACAAAAACTCTCATCGAAATAGTAAAAGGTTCGTCAGACACGTCATGATTTTCTATATAAAATCAAAATAAGAATAAGAATAATGTAATTAATTAATTAATTTTCAGGTCGAGCATTTTTTTTGAGTCATTTTGAATTGATACAAACATTGAAACCGAATATAAAAGCTGTAGTTCCGGCTGTGGAAAATAAGGGACATTATTTAGCCGTTTTTACATCTAAAACTATGAAACTCATGAATTGGAACGAATACTCGGAAAATTTTATTAACGCCGGTTGAGTATTTAAATTTAAGACTTTGACACACAAAAGAAAAACTTTTAACGTTTAATTTAATTTATTTTTATTCCAGGAGAAATTTTAAATTTAAAAGAAAACGTAACGTTTGTCACATCGGAATTTCCCACGAATGAATCCCTTCTTTATATTGAAGATTTAAAGTCAACCAAAGTTATTTATTCAGATTTAGTTCAACAAATCGATAACAAATACGATACATCCTGCATAACTTCGTTTCAATTAAAATCCCTCAATAAATCCTGCATATTCATTGGTCAAAAGAAAAACAGTTCGGTTATTCTTTGCAAAGGTTTAATAACACAAGATTTAAGTACTTACCAATGGTTGGAGTCTAAAGGTTCAGTTCAGGTGAGTGAATTTTAATATTCAACAGATCGATATGATTCTCTGGAAAAATAAAATTTTTTAAAATTAAAACTCATATTCAATTTTGTTGTTGTTGTTGTTGTGATCAAGGCCACTGCGCTGACTATCAATGATGAAACGTATTTGGCGGTTATAAACAAAGAAATTGTGGTAGATAAAATAGAAAATAGTTTGGTCATTTATCGATTCGATTCGAAACTTCATCACTTTTATGAAACTCATACATTGGCCGAAGTTAATCCTGTTGCGGTGTCATCTGTAACATATAAAGGAAATTATTATTTGGTAGCCGCAGGAGGACACTTACCAGAATCCGTTCACAACAGCGTCATAAGCATTTTTAAGTAAACATTACATTTTAATTAATTATTAAAGTCATGGTTGTCAAAAAAACAAAAGACAGTGACGTAATAATTAATTTTTTTTGTCAGGTTCAATAAAAATTATAAAGTTTTTGTTCGTTTTAAATCAATAAGAGTCGATACTCCGGTGGATGTTCATTTTGCATTGCTTCCATCGAAAGAACTCGCTTTATACGTTCTTACTTCTAGTCCGACGAAACCTTTCGTAGTTTTTCTTCACAGAGGAGTTGCGGGATTCGTTGAAGAAACTTCTGGACTTTCACTATATCCCGGTTCTCATTTGTATTCGTTTACAGATTCTAAAAATCGGCATTTTGTTATAATTAACGGTCTCGAAAGAGGACAAATATTAAAAGCAGGTTTCAAAGGTGACAAAACACCAGCGTAGGAATTCCAGTCATTTATTTATTACCGTAATTAATCAGTTAAACGAAATTATTAAGTGAACATGTAAATATGCGAAAAAATAAAAAAGCAAAATTAATTAAAAATAAATTATAATTTTTTTTGTGTCACCGAATGGAACCGATAATAATTAATAAATATAAATTGTTTTTATTTAAATAAATTAATAGTTTTGTATTAATTTTAAACACGTAAAATTCTCACAATCGTAAAAGAATTAAAGGAAAATAATTTTTATGTAAAGGTTCTCCACCCCCTTCTCTCCCTCCCTCCGCCCCTTATAAATATTTTATTTAAGTCATTAATTAACATGTTATATAAAATGAAAGGAATTTAAAATTTAAAAAAAAAGAAAAAATGAAATTATTAAATTATTAAAATTAGCAAAAAAAAAAAAAGAAAAAAATTTTTTTTTTATTATTATCGCTAAAATCGTGTGTTATTTAAGAAATTCGAGAGACATTATCATCATGTGTGTAATATACCATCAACAACAACAACAACAACAACAACAATCAAAAAAAAGAAGAAAAAAAAAGAAACAATAAAAGAAATTATTTATAAACTAACAATATTTATATATAAATATATAATTAACCATCTTAATTATTCGATAAGTTAACATTTAACATCAATGCTAATAAGATGGTTCCTGTAAAAAAAAAAAATTTAACATAATTATGTTGAGATTAAATTTAAAACAATTGATTGAAATGTAAATTATTTGAAAATATTATTATTATTATTATTATTATTATTATTATTTACTGGGAACTTAAATAAATTTATATATCTTTGATTGTAAAAACGTATTATAGACAACGTCTAAACAAAAAAAAAATTTTTTTTCTAAATGAAAATTCTTTAGTTTCCCTAACAATAATAATAATAACAATATTTAGTTTTTGAAAATTTAAAACAAAAATGGAGAGCATTTTATTAATGATAAATATAACACCCACCACTTATTAAACGCCATTTATATTATTTTATACTAAAAAAAAAAATTCACATAATGGATTTATTATTAGTCGCAATTAATTAATAATAGAAAGAAAGAAAGAAAAAATATTTTTAAAAAATTTCAAGTCTTTTATTAAAAAAAAAAAAAAAAAAAAAAAAAAAGAAAAACAATTTTTTTTTTTTTTAAATCCCTGACTATTATTATTAATGTAAAAATTAATATCTAATAATAATAATAATGATTATTATTATTATTAATTTTTGTTTATTTAAAATGTAAATGCATTATTTCAAATTTGGAAATAACAGCAAAATGATTATATATTTTGAACACAAAAAAAAAAAAAAAAGAAAAACTAATTAAACGTAAAACATTTATTATTAAAAAACAATTATTATTATTCGATTCTAATCAAGCAAAAATTATTTACGTTTATTTATTTATTTATTTATTTTTCCCTCTTCTCAAGCCGTTACACAAAATTTTTATTTTTTTAAATAATAGTCTTAAATTCTAACACGAATATTAATAATAATAAACATCGAACGTGTTTTTTAAATGTGTTTCCATAAAAGAAAAAGTTCGATGGTGTGAAAAGTTTTTTTTTTTTAATTTTAAACTTTCGTCGTTTCCATTATCATCATCATTATCATCATTATCATCATCTCTCGAATGATTTTCTATAAACAACTATCGATATATAAAATAACAAAATTAAATTGAGCTCATTCAAAAGGAGCTTAATCAATTGTAAAATACGAATTCAATTAATATATAAAATAAAAATAAAAAAAAATTATTAATAACTATTGTTAAATTAAAATACAATAATAATAATAATAATAATAATAATAATAATAATAATAATAATAATAATAATAATGATAATAATAATTAAAAGAAAATTACGAATATTTTTTTTTCAGTTCGATTATTATATATCACGTTCACACGAATGATAGATATTAAAAAAAAAAAAAAAAAATCACAGCTACTGATTCGACATGATAAAAAAAAAAAAAAAAAACCGAATCAAAAGTTCAGGAAAAGAGATTCAGGTTCGAAAAAGGCCGGCAAACGGTTGTTTTTTTTTTTTTAATGTCCACACACGCACTCACATACACACGCGTGTGTGAGTGCTTGTATGTCCGTTGCCCGTTAAAAAATTCCAATGAGATCCATTTTAATAAAAAAAAAAAGAAAAAAAGAAAAGTTCTACCGGCAGAGCGAGAAAGGCATGACGAGCCTAAGACAAACGTTGTTGATGGGCGAATAATTATCAACTACCGATGACAGACGAAATGTCATGGAAGCAAACAAACAAGGTTTGTTGTTGTTGTTGTTTTTTTTATTACAACGTCGTACTTTGGCTAATCTTATGTCTGCTTTGAAATAACGATTCACAGAACTAAATATTGAAGCCTTCGCCGGGAGAGGACGTGAATTATTTTTCACATTGATATTACGAATGTTTTCAAACAACTTTGATGGGTTGTACGAACGCGAGCATGAACACCGAGTTGTTGAGCAAAGAAGCGAGGCACCTGATTTAATGGCGCCCGGCAATATCAACTCAAAAGGACCGTAAACGGAACCAAAGAGGAAAAAATCCGGGCGCCGACGCGTTTCAGTCCCAACCATTTTCTTTGATCATGTGAGCCAACTCAATAATATATTTTCCTTCTTTATATTTTTGACTTGATTCGAATGCATGTTCCTACGGAATACAATATTATATATATAATATAAATATTATCAAGTCAAGTCAAAGTAATTGAATAAAAAAAAAAAAAAAGGAAAAAAAAGAAAGAAAAAATTACATATTTCCAACCCAAAGTTGTTTTGCAACATTCACAATAAATATCAGCGACTGCGTGAAGTCCAGTCAACAAGACACGTTCTTCTGCTGGACCGCAGCCGACGTTTACACTGGAAAAACAAAAAAAACAATCAACGCGTGGAATAAAGTAGAAGTGAAAATTGTATTTGTTCTACTCAAAAACCGTAAAAATAATAATAAAAAAAAAGTTATACTTACACAGAATTAAAAAGATATGCTCTTCCTTGGCTACCTTGAAATGACTGGAAAAAAAAAAAAAAAAAAAAAAACTGTTACAAAAATAATAAAAATTTCAAACCGCTGAAATAAAAATTTTTACCTTAAATATACAAAAAAAAAAAAAACATTTAAATAACAACAACCTTATCAGAAATTAATTTAATTATCATTAATATTAGCGTGATAATTGACCTGGCGAATAATAATAATAATAATAATTATGTAATGTAAATAATGACGGGAAAATACGATAATATTTAAATCAATTTATTTTTCACTCTCTGACAATTTCAAAATCGACCGCCTTTTTTTTTAAAAAGAAAAAATTCAATAAAATTTAATTTTACTTTAACAACAACAACAACAACAACAACAACAACAATGCGGGGTTAAAATTCTTCTAAATAAAAGAAAATGGGGAAAAGTAAATAAAGAAAAAAAAAAAAAAAAAAAAAAGGAAAACATGCGCATTAATTTTCGTTCTTGTTCCACGTGGCAACTGATTTTCCTTATAGGTCACGACCTTGGACAACAGCCACCCAGCTGTTTTTCTCCCCCACAAAATCGTTCTACTTGCACGCTACACCACATATATATATATATAAAACGAAACCGCCATTTTTATTCCTCTACGAAATCAATTTACAAAAAAAAGGAAAAAAGGAAAAAAAAAATTCCGGAATTTTTTATTAAAAAAAAAAAAAAAAAAAAAAAAAAAAAAAAATACGCGAGGTTTTTTTTTTCTTCTTCTTAAAATTAAATTGTGTTGGTGATTCATTGGAAATTCACATTTTGCTAAAAAAAAAAATCAATTTGGTAAAATTTAAACAATTTAAAACAAAAGAAAACAAAAAGAAAAATTTTTTTGATGAAACGTAATTACGGTTTCAACAACAACAACATTAGTTTATTTCAAAAATGATATTAAAAAAATTTTTTTTTTATATAACATGTGCCGCATATATTTTCTTAAGGCAAAGTAGGTATGAAAATTACTCGAGGCCTCAGGATCGCGTGACTACCTGAAAAAGACCCTCCTAATTAATACAATGAGTATGTGCTTCAAGTTTTAACCTGTACGATTCACACGGCAAACTAATTGGTGTAATGACCCTAAAAGAGCTTAATTTGAAGAAGAGAAAAAAAGAGATTTTTTTATTCGTATGAGTAAAAAATATATTTTTTTTTCATATCATTCTTCTGGAGAAATAAATAATTATTTGTCTTATTATTTAATTATTCCTGAAAAAAAAAAAATAGAAATTACATATATTTAAATATTAACTTACTTTTGAAATGAGCTCGTCGTGATTGGCCAAGTGCGCCCGACAGTGGACGCACGAGTATGTACGGTGGCAATGTGGCAAATAAGCCTGAAAAGTCTTCACCATCGTGTAAAAGCCTTCGAACCTGGCGGCAGGAACTCAACCGAGCCACCAAAGACACAAAGGACCGTCTCTGGGCCCAAAATGCAGGGCACGGCCATGCAGGCGGCAGTGATTTTCTCTTCTATGCTATACCACCACTTGTTAATCTTACCCTCATACCACCTGAAAAATAAAATAATTTTTTTTTTTTTTTATTTTTATGTG